AGGCGTGCACTGGCCGCCATCCAGTGGGGAGGCACACGGCTGGTTCAGCGTCGCGTTGCTATAGTAGCCGTAGTACATGACGGTGTGGGTGAAGCGGCCCTGCAGAGAGGACGCCCGGCCACATCAGGGACTCTCCCCTCCCTGCACCTGACCCACCCTCAGGCTTGGAAGGCAGATGGCGGGCACCCAGGGGGCAGGGCAGGGGAAAGGCAGAAGGGGAAGGGCCAGGGCAGGGGCAGTGAGGAGAACACGGAGGTGGGCAAAGGGCCGTGGCCACCCTGGAGCTGCCAGGGCGCTCCCCTCCCGGAGTCGCAGCAAGGGGTGGGGTGGGGATCCCTGGAGGAAGCCGTGACAAGGGGGCGCCTGCCCGCCCCCACCAAGCCTCACCCCGCCCGTGAGAAGCTCCAGGCCCCTGAAGGCGGGCACGGAGCCCGAGGGCGCAGGCGGGAAGGCGGCCTGCACGGCCACGATAAAGGCCAGCAGTGGCAGCAGCAGCAGCGTGTTCAAGGCCAGCAGGGTCTTGAGGAAGAGGAAGTAGGAGAGAACGCTGGAGCCGAACTGGCCCCCGATCCGCTTCAGGGCGTAGTGCCAGGGCCTCCGGGCCTGCAGCCCCGAGAGCAGCGCGAGCCCCAGGTTGTGCGACGCCTGTGGGGCCAGCAGCAGGACAGCCCTCAGGCGAGGCTGGAGAGGGGAGCCGGCCCCCAGCCAGACCCCGGGCCAGGCCCAGAGCGCAGGGGCAGTGGAGGGGCAGCCACGAGGGGAGGGGGGTCGATCACACCCGGAGCCAGGCTGAAGGCTAGAGGACCCCACGAGCGGCACGCAGAGGGAGAACACGTGGCCCCCCTCAGTGCCCCCCCTCAGTGCCCCCGCCCAGAGGCGCCTACCAGGATACAGCTGTCGCGCAGCCGGCTGCAGCAGGAGAGGAGCCCATGGCGCCCCCGGGCCCTCCGCTTGCCCCTCGGGGGCCGGCTCTCCTCTCTGGGGGCAGAGGCAGAGTCAGGGCTTGGTCCACTCCCTCCCAGGGACCACCCGCCCACTGCAGGCTCAGGGCCCTTCTCACCAACCACCACGCCCAGCCGAGGAAGTGGGGCTGGGGTCCGCACGAGGCCGAGGGGCACTGACCGCAGGCAGCGTTTCTCGGCCAGGCTCAGCGGCATCCCCCGGAGCATGTGGTCCCGCTGGGCCACCGTCAGGCCCTGAAGCTCCTTCACCAGGAGGCCCCGCTTCTCTGCAGGAGCAGGAGGGAGCCCTGCGGGTTCCCTGCAGCATCCTTCCCTCCCTCCCACAACTGTGGCCGTTCCCCGGCAACACAGGCCTCTGCCGCTCTGCCGCCCTGCCGGGCCCGATGGCTCCTCTCTGCTAGGATCCTGTGCTGCCCACCTGTCCCACACCCGCACTGGCCATCACTCTCTCACCTCCACCCCCTGGAGCCCAGGACACGATCAAGTTCCCAGCATCTTCTGAGGCCCAGCCCAGTGGCCCCTCTGCCTTGAACCAAACTCTCCTCTTGGGTCCCCACTCGCATCTTGCTCTGACCCCCCAATGCCCCTGAGCCCCGTCCACCCCCGACTCAGCAGTCCCCACTATGCCAAAGCCTGGTGGGGTGAGTAGGGGAGGGCAGGACCTGGAGATCTGCCCCTCCCCTATGTCCTCGTTCCTTTCATCTTCACAACCAGCCTGGAAAGGCGGTGCTATTTTAACCCCACTTTACAGATAAAAGATGACCAGAAAGCAGACACGTGGCGTGGTTTACACAATGAAACTGGAATGTCCATCCTGACCCCAGAGCCCACACCACCCTGCACTGCTCCGTCACCCACCAGCTGCAGGCCTTGGCTAAACAGGGAGAAGAAACACAGGCAGGGCCCCAGGAAGCACCCAAGCCCCTGGGCACTGATGCCAGAGATCACCTGGCTGAAGACCAACCTGTGAGCTGGGCCCTGCTCCCTCTTACGACCACTCTCCCTTGTTCCCCAGCCCCGCCACACAGGCCTCCCAGATACTCAGGCAAGCCGGGAGGCTCCCACCTCAGGGCCTTTGCCCATGCCCCATTGACTCTAGTATCACTTCCTCCAGGAAGCCTTCCTGGGTCGCTCCAGGCTAGACAGGTTCCGTGACACTCTCCTGCGGCGTGCCTTTCCTCAGCTGCCCTTATCTGAGCTTCAACCATCCATTTATCCATTTATTTGGTTACTGTCTGTTTCACAAAACAGACAATAAGCTGCATGAGAGCTGACTGGGTCTGCTTACCACCATCACATCCCAAAGCCAACACCAGCATCTGTGACACTACAAATGCTCAACAGACACTGTGGAGCGTGTGCCTGCATGAGCCAAATACTGTGCAGCTGGAAAGGCCCGCACTTCTCTACGCCAGTGGCCAGAACACCGAGACACTCCCATACCCCTGCAAAGAGACCTCACCGCTGGGGGCCTTCAGACAGCCCACTGCACCCCAGCCCCCCAACCCGGCCTGCTGACCTCCTCCCCACCGAGGCTCTGGGCCCCCCTCACTCACCATCCTCCTCCAGGACCGCAGGGTCCAGCTCCAGGTCGTACAGGCGGAGGCTGGGCCGGGCTGAGCGGCTCACATCTCTGAGCTGAGGCCGGCCGGCCCTGCGGCGCAGCCTCACTGTGCGGCTGTAGTACTGGGAGATGATGGCGCCGCGGCTCCGGCCTGTGGAGGCCGCTGGTCAGGGGGCGACGTGCCCCTCTTATGTAGAGGCAGGGGCTGCCCCCCCACTCCTTCCCAGGACCCAGGAAAGTTCTTTCACAAAAGACCTCAAGCACCACTGGGTTCCCAAGAGCATATTTTTATCCCCGTGACGACTCCGGAGTCGTTTTTAGACCGCGGCGAGGCTGCATGGGACTGGGCTGGGCCTCCAAGCAGCAGACGAGGTGGGGTAAGAGCCGAAGAGGCCTGGCTCTGAGGTACACAGATCCCCGCCGGAAACCGCAGCGCAGCCCAGGGTCCAAAGGCAGAGGGTCCCACTCACCAATGGTGCGACTGGGCATGCTGGCCAAGATGCGGAGTGTGGCCGTGCTGTAGACAGGGGCGCCCTCGGGCCCCAGCAAGGCCTGGCGGTCACTGCCTGCCCAGCAAGAAAGACTCGTCCAGAGGTTCTATAGACACCACTGGCCAGAGATATCCTCTGCCCACCCCCTGCCCCAGGCTGCTAGGAGGGGCTTCCTGAGAGGTTGAGAGGCTCCGTGCCCGGCCCACACATCCCAGCACCTGGCCTGGGCCAGGGCAGGCGGGCTCACCTGAGGCCCCCAGGGCTCCAGCCCCGAGCACCCTCTGCTGCAGCTCCAGCCCCTCCTCGGCCACCCAGCGGCTCTGCTCCTGAATGAGCTGGTGGAAAGAGTCGTGCACTTCGCTCTCATCATAGGGGCTGGGCTCCTGGCTGCTGGGGTGAGAATGGGGGAAGGGGCAGGAGTTCAGGCTGCGGCTGACCCAGTCCTCGCCCCAGCAGCCTACCTGCTCTGAAGGGCTGAGGTCCAGACCACCTCTCCCTGGGGGTGATACATCCCAGCCCCCCAGCCCCACCTCAGAGCACTTACTCCTCTGGGTCCTGTGGGGTCTCAGGGACATTAAGGACAAAAGCCAGCGACCGGGACATATCTGCGGCCCACCCGCAGCCAGTCTGCCGACCTAGGGCAGTTCAGAGCCTGGACGCAGCCTCAGGAGCCTCCCGCTGCCCATGTGATGAGACAGAAAGCGTTACAGCAAAGTTAGCCTGGCACCCAGCTCCACTGCCCACTCCCTGGGGACCATGGGGGGTGCCACTCCCAGCCCAGGCTGCCTGAGCCCCCATCCACACACAAACACCAAACGCGTGGCCAAGTGAGTGGCCCCAAATATTCCTCAGGCCAGAACGGACTGAGGGGGAGCTCCTTCCGGAAGGAAGGAGGAAGGAAGTGAGGGGAGTCTGGGCAGCTCCCCACAGGCTTCCTCAGTGACGCCATCCCTGAGAGATGGGGAGCGGGTGGGGTGCCTGTGGATAGGTTCTCCATTCCCAGGGCTCTGACCCAGAGATGCCGCCCTCTGGGTGGGAAAGGTCAGGGCAGTTGAGGCCTTCCCTGTGGCAGCGCGTGACCACACAGCACTTCCTCCCGGCCGGAAATCCCACAGACAGCCAGCAGCCTGGGCCCTCACCCTCACCAGCGCCTGACAGAACGGCAGACAGGATGGCCCCCTCGGCTGCGCCCCACCCTGCATCCCCCCCACAGGAGTCACTCCACGCCAACCTGGGCGCATCAATGTTGACAGCCCTCCTGGGAGACTCCACTACATTCCATCACCTCCCGCAGGCCAGGGCAGCTGGCTGGGGGAGGGGTGCTGGGCGTTGAACAGGCAGCCTTTGTCCGGGCTCTGCCATCACCCAAGACAACTGAACCAGGGCCGCCTTGTTCAGGCTCTTCAGCCCGTGGGAGTGGGGCAAGGGCAGCAGGCTCCCAACCACCCACTAAGTCCTGCAGGCTCTGCCCCAGCAAGACGGGGCCCTGCCCTCGGTCTGCCCTGTCCACCCCTCCTCGCTACCCTCACCCCCAGGGAACTCAGCACGGAGGAAAGCTGGCTCAGCTCAAGGGGCTTCCTCAGGCGAGGCCAGGGTGAACAGACAGAGCAGGTCCCGCTAGGGCTGTACCCAGACAGTGCCCTCACTTAGGGGTGTCCAGTCTCTGAGCCCAGGCCGCACGGAGTCCAAGGCCCCTCCCCTTCTCTCTCACAGGAGCACAGTGTGGAGAAACCAGCAGAGAGAGGTCAGAGGTGGACTCTTGACACCGCTTGAAATGGAAGGTAGCTGGGGCTGAGGGTGTGCCCCCCAATCCAGTCCCTAGAGCTGGAATTCCTTCCTGGAAAGACAGACATTCCCAGGTTCGGATCTACAGACCTCTCCCACATACCCCTTCTCCAGGAGGGAGGAGCAGGGAGATGGAAGGTGTTCAGAGGCTGCCTGGGGGATGGGGGCTCACCTGGGCACTGGCATCTGGGCACTGACCAAGACTTCTGCCCGGCTGGTACCCAGCACCCTGGCACCCTTGCCCAGGCAGGGACAAGTTGGGCAGGAGTCCCCAGGGTGCACCATTCCTGAGCCGTGAGCCAGGTAGGGAGGGGCAGGGTGGGGCCCGTTTCCAGAAACCCCACCCCAGCCGGAAGTCAGTCCTCTGGGAGCAGCTACTGCCCAGTCAGAGCCGCGGCCCAGCCTCTGAGCCGAGGGAAGGCAGCAACTCCGAGACCCTGGACCCCTCATCTGCCAGTCTCCCACACGCCCACTTTCCGCCAGTGGTACCCACCTGCAAACCCGGCCTCCCCACCCTTTCCCCTCCCGAGAGACACACACCACCGCCCTCTCCCCTGACGCCCGCCACCTGACTGTTGGGGTGCGCTGAGACCTTCGCGTCCCCCGCCCGGACACCCCTGAGAGAGTCAACTCCGGTTGTGAACTCAGGGAGATCCACGAGAACCCGAGGAGGAAACTCAGTGCCCAGTGGCCCCAGAGGCCCAAAGGAATTCGGAAGGGGTGGAGCTGGTGGCCGCAGGGGAATTGGATGGGGCTAGGAGTACGAGGGCGCCGTCCCCAAGTCCCGGAGCTGCGGCCTCCACCCACGACCCGGCACCCGCATCCTGGCGCTGACCTGGGAGGCGGTGGGGAGGAGGGGGCCGGCGCGCGTCTCACCTGTCCCCCGCGAGGGCCACCGGAAACTTTGTCTGGGCTCCACCGACTGCGGGAGGGGTCGTGACGTCAGAGGGAGGGAGTGGCCAAGGGCCCTCGGGGGGACCTGTGAGCGTTATCAGGCCTGGCGGGGCCAGAGTGCTGCTCCGCCCAGCCCGGCCCACGTGGCGACGGGACTCAGGCAAGTCACGTGACCCGGCTGGGGGGGCGCGCCCCGCTCCTCCTGCTTCCCCTCCCCGTCGAGCCCTCGGCGACTGTGCCCTCTCCCCATCAGCTTCCGACCCCTCCTCTCACCCCACCCTGAGGTCTGACCAAGATGAAGGCGGCGAGTGTCTGGAAGTGTTCCAATCTCCGGTTGAAGCCAATTTCTGTGGGACTCAGTTTCCCCAAGTTTCAAATGGGGACAATGATTCCAGACCCGCCCACTTCCCAGGTCGATTATCAAAATAACACCATGCGGCAAAGCCACACGGATACAGCGGGCGTTGCAGGACCACATTGTGTAACCCCTTCCTCCAGCACAACCTGCTGCGACAACTGCCCCAAGCTGGCTGGTAGAACCCGGGGTTATCTCCGCCCTCCCGATGTGGGCGTGGTTTCTCCAGCAGAGTTCCGGCACACTTCCTGTGTGCTAGGTGGGGAAGAGGGGAGGCACACTTAGGGGCTGTCCCCATTGCTGTTTGCTCCGTTATTCCCCACAAGCCAGGGAGGGGGGCACTGATGACCCTAGCTCACAGATGAGGAAACGGGCCGAGAGGTCAGTCAGCCTCCAGGGTGTCATCGGCCAGGGTGTGAGTCTTGTCCACCTGGGAGCTCTACCTAGAAACCTGACCTCGAAAAAGCCCGGCAGGCCAGAGTCACCCTTGGGTTTGAGAAAAGTGTGGGATTTGGACAGTGGCGGGAGCCATTTCTGGTTGGGAGAAGCCTTGAGAGGCGGGCAGGGTGAAAGTGATCTGGAAGGCAGAAAGGAAGGGGAGGGCCCTCCTGGAGGGGAGGACAGGTGGGCCAAGCCAGGATGCCCAAATAGAGAGTCATTACCTCAGGATGGATCTTGGTACAGCACCTCAGCCTAGAGAACTAGCTCTGCCCAGCCCCCGCCTCTCCCCCAACACTATTCCCTGCCCTGCACACCCATGCTCCAGTCACGTTTTACTTGCATGATCCCAGGCACAACTTGAAAGTCACCTCCTCTGGGGAGCCTTCTGGGATCGAACCCTGTTGGAGCACGTGCCACTTCCTATTGACAAGTACATTTGCTAGTCCGTCGCCCCTCTCCCGCTCCGTCTCTATCTCTATGCTCACTGTGTGCCCAGCACCAGCACCCAGCCTGGGGCCTGGCATGGGACGCGGGGCGGGGGGTTCTGGAAAACCAGGAGGGGAAGGAGGCGGGGAGGCAGAAAAAACAGTGGAGCTCTTTAGGGATGAGGGGGGGGCCCTCAAGGAGGCGGAGTGGGAGAAGGAGGAAGGACAGGACCGCGGGGTCTCCCAGGGGGTCCCAAGAGAGAGAAAGGGCCGAGACAACTCGCCGGGGCGGGGCATGAGTGCAGCGGGTTCCTGAGCGCTTCCCATAGGCCAGGCGCTGGGCCGCTTCGGCGTTAAGTGCCAAAGATCTAGGCGGGAAGTTGAGAAATAACGCCTAGGGCCTCTGAAAATCCAGCAGCCCTGAGTGGTCGGACCCACCCCCTAAGTTATTGCACTATCGCGCCCTCTGAGCCGAGCGGAGCCGGGGCTACCTGCGGATAAGGGGCGGGGCCTGCGCCCAGCCGACCGCAGCCCCGCAGGGTCAGACCTTCGGCCCAGAAGCCGCGGGTCCCCCGTGGGGAGGGGAAGGGCCCGACCCCCGCCCGGCGCGCACGCGCAGCGCCTCTCACCTGCCCGCCGGCGCTCCGCGCCTCCTCAGGAAGTGCGGGCCTCGGGGGAGCGCGGAGGAAGTGCCGGAGGCGAGGGGG